TTAGGGAAATTTTTTTTTTTTTTTTTTTTTTTTTTTTTTTTTTTTTTTTTTTTTTTTTTTTTCAAAAGGGTAAAAGTAAAATATATATATGTGTGTATACACACACACACACACACACACACGTATTACCAGTTCTGCAACAAATGAATGCCATAGCAACAGCTAAGGGAGCTCTTTTTTCTATTTTTTTTTCCACTCAGCAGACCCTTTTTTGATTTACCATAACTGACTGCTGAATTTTATAAATTGGCAATTATGCAGACAAAATAAATCCACCCAGGATAATTGAGTTGACTGCATTGTGTGGAACTTTGCTGATTTGTCTCAATAAATAAAGTGTTCATATAACTGATGACAAATGAAGCTGCTTTAAAATGTCTACTATATTTTCAAAAGCAACTTTGCAACCTAAATTATATTGCTTTTCAGTGATAGTAAAGCTCATAAATAATAAGCTCACTTGAGCTTATTGGAAAGCTTTGCCATTATGTCTTAACCTTTAGCAGTATCTTAATAAAAATAATGATGTGTGTTAAATATTGAGAGATTTCTTCACGCTGATAAAAAGCTCACGAATCATTGCTTGCAAGCTCATAAGCTCAAAGGATGTCTATGAATTAAAGCATTGCTAAGTAGTAAGGTGAGACTTTTAATAAAGACTTTTCACAAGTCAAAAGCCGCATCACCTTTTTTCCCCTCAAGTTATTAGCCTCAGTTCTTTTGTGAAATTTTTAGACCAATATTGTAGTGTCTCACTGCATAGTAGAGATGAGTTGTGGCCAGATTTGTACTTTCTCAAGCGAGTTGGAGAAATGGGTCTTCAAACTGATATTTGGGCTTCTTCATATATAACTGTATTCATAAATAGGCCTTTTTGGTTTCACAGGGCAAAAGGGTGAACTGGGGTTACCTGGCCCACCAGGACCCCCTGGACTTCCAGGTCTGAAGGGAGAACCAGGTTTCCAGGGATTTCCTGGTCTACAGGGTCCACCAGGTCCACCAGGATTACCAGGGCCACCTCTGGAAGGTCCTAAAGGTAGCCCTGGCCCACAGGGTGTTCCAGGAAGACCAGGTAAGAATGTGATTCATACCTATCAACATCTGCCAGTACTTCCATATTTTGCTGGTAGGTTATCAACCTTTAGACTTATTTTATTTGTTTGGATGTTTAAGTTCAAGCCTCATGACATAGGTTATAAGGTTTGTGGGCAACCAGAGGATTTTGTTACCAAAAACAACAATATCTAAAACTAAAACGACCTCAGTTTCTATTAATTTGTGATACCTAGCAGCAAAAATCCAGTGCGTTAATAAACGGGAGATTCTCCGCATGCTGTCACAGCAATCATCTAGAGAGCACGAAATCGACTTTTCAACATCTGATACCTTTGCAGTATGATCACATGATCAGCCAATGTCATCGCGCACAAAAAGCAATAATAATAAATCCCATCATTTTAAGAACCATGAAAATCAATTTCATGTTAGCATCACAGCATGATCAAATTGGATACCTGCCTCTTCATCTCTGTGTCATGTAACATAAATCACTGCTGCATTGTGTCACGTGGCTCCCATGGATTCAGTGCACCATCATGCCGTCTTCATCTTTCCATTCCATGTTTGCATTTTGCATTTTGTTCCTGCACCAACTAATTCTGGAAATGAAAGAATATCATGCTGAGTTAACATTGCTGAGCAACTCTCTAGTGTCTGTTACAACTTGATTTATATCTTGTGTCATAGAATGGTAATTTCCATTATGATGCTGCTCTTGGGAAAATCAAACTTTAATGAACCTTTCAGTCTTCAGGCTCAGGCTTATTACTGTGTCTAAAAGTACTTTGTCGCCAATAAAACTCATCTTAGCTGATGTTCTTGACATTCTCATTAAAGGAGGCAACACTTTCAAACCAAGCTATTGGTTTAGTACAGTTTCTTGTTTGCTTATGCACAGATAAATGGTATTTTTAATTTTTTTCCTTAAAACTTGGACCTCATTTTTTTTTCCTGTTGTTAAAAGGGGAAAGTCAGTGCTGAGTTAGTGCATTTGTAAAATAGCTGCTACTCATGTGTGGATCACTAGATATCAAGGGAGAGTCCTGCAGTACACACTTGGAAAGATTTTAAGATTCAGTTTTTCCTCAGGTTTGCTTCCGATGCTGGAAGAGACAAGTCCACGGAAAAATAAAAGTTTTGGAATTTAAAAAAACAAAAAATCAACAAAAAAAACCATTTTTCACTAGTGCTGTAACTAAGTAATATTTGATTATTCTTAATGGCAATATGGGATTTTCTTGCTGTGCAGGGTAGGCTATGAACTCATCTATCCTACACACACATTTGAAGAATGAGTCATGAACAACATTTGGCACTAAGTTATTACACCTTAAAACAAGGATGATGACTGCCAGCATCATGGGGAAGTATGCTGAGGTTTTCTTTTTAGTGCTAATAAAATACTTGGCTTATGTTGTGTCCTAAGCCTGCCTTTTTTAATGTCTGGTGGAGAACACCCCTTATGAGTTAATGTTTAACTTCTAGTCTCAGTTTCTTCCTGTTTTCTCGCTTAGTTGGTGGAAGGAGGAGTAGGCATCTTCCCAGATTTTTTTTTTTTTTCCCCCTGGAGGAGCTTATTCCCTGCTGTGCACCTTGCTATGGGCTATAACCAGTCAGTGGAGCATCCCTGCTGCAAGTCAATAATCCTAATTTGCTTTCTACCACCCAAGCAACCTTGTCGTTTTCCTGCCTACTTGCTCCTTGGCAGGTAGGGGTGCAGGACAAGTAATCCCTGCTCTGCCCACTGTGGTTAGAGTTGCAGCTGAGACAAGCAGGAGAATGAGTGAAGGGACAAGAGAAGCTGTGGGATGTGGGACTTGATATTAAAAATTAAGTTAGGCCCTTAGGCCCTCAAAAAAGTGCCTAAAAATTTCTAGGTGTCAAGATCTTCCAAAGAG